GGTTCGAGACTCTCATTTGTGAAAGAAAAAAAAAAAAATCTGTGGATATATGATTTTACTGATTTATTATGTTAATTAAGCATAGTGAACCAACCCTCCCAAAACAAAACCTTCGATCACAATTAGTTATGAATTTTTTTTTTATTAATTAAACAGTTGGTTCAACTCAGTTATACAGATGTGAAAATTAAATTAGGGTTGTCCCAACTGTATTTATTCGTAATATGAAATTATAAATCCTCAAAAGCATCAGTATATAACATATGTTTTTTTCATCTTCATTCATTTTACAATATCCACCATATATACGAGACTATTTTGTTCGCTGCCTGCAGGAAGTGTTGCAGTCAGGCTTGGCACTTTCGCACAGCCCGTACGGTTATATCCATTGCTCTGCAAGAACCTCCTCGACTCTCTAGCCTGCAAATTTCAAACAAACAAAAAAGAAAAGGTAATTAATTCCTCCCTAAGATAACTGGTCGTAAAACTGTGACCGTATATACAACATAATATTCGTAAAATGATTTCATGCAATACGTACCTGAGCTCAAACAAAATAGCGCGATGCAGAAAAGCACCAAGAAAAGGCCTCGAGCAAAGTTGATGGAATTCATATTGTCTGAGTTTTTTGCTATTTGGATGAATGTTTGAAATCATTCAATACGTACCTGAGCTCAAACAAAATAGCGCGATGCAGAAAAGCACCAAGAAAAGGCCTCCAGCAAAGTTGATGGAATTCATATTGTCTGAGTTTTTCGCTATTTAGATGAATGTTTGAAATCATGTTGTTAGAGCGTGTCTATTTATAGTACACTAAAACTCTCGGATCTGGATTGACATCTAGAAAATCAGTTTTTGGAGAATGTAAGTTATGAGTAAGTATCTTGTTTGATTCGCTACCAAATCAAGGGATCATGTAAATTCATTAGGATTATTGACAAAAAAAAAATACATTTCTCAGATAGTGGCCCGTTTTGCATTTTATAAATACATTTGAACTATTTGTTTTTTATTAGTTGATCATAAAAATATCATTCTTGCTAAAAACTAATCAAATTCAAAACTATAAAGACATTCGTTTATGTTATTATGTTCACCAAACGACTGTAATATGACCATACGAGGACATGTAAGCAACTCTTTAAAAAAGACTTTTAGATTTATCCACCGGTGTATAGGGTATTAGGTTAAGCTATCATTTTTTTAACTAAATAGTTAGTCTTCCTAGCATTATTCTTTCTAAAAACAGTAAAATAGCAATTCATTGACTTGGGTAGTTAAATGGTTTCGGATGAATAATTTTTGCAAGAACAAACTTTAAGGAAAAACTTAAAATGACGAAGGACAAAGTTGATGTTATTTTAGAAACGGAAAAGTTAAAAGGAAGAAGCATGCCATTTAATTAAAAAAAGTGATTCGAGAATTAGTAATTCATAGGTTAAAAAAATATTTGATGTTGTCATATCCCGAAAGTGGATGTATTTTACTTTTCAGGCAAAATTTGAGCGAATTATGTCGTTTAATGTGTTTTATTTGTGTTTTAATATTTTAGGATCTTTTGATGTTTTGTTATTTGTTTGATTCCTTTCCTATTTAAATTCCTAGGGTTTCTAAGGCTTGGTTATATTATAAATAGGTCATTTTGGCATTAGGTTTGTTATCTATCATATTATAAATCAAAATTTGAGAACTTTTCTCAATTCTCTGATGTTTCAGAATCCTAATCAAAAGAGTGATTGTTTGTTCGGGATCCCTTTTATCCTCTAGAATGACTGGTCATTTTCGCAATATCCTCTAGAATCACCATCTAAAGTTAACACCAGACCATATTTCTTCAAAGAAAATAAATCCTTAAATTATGAAGAACTACCAATCATCCCTCTAAAGTGCATCACATGCAAGTCAAGTGACTTAAATTGATAAAAAAATTGAATAAAATAGCTACGAATCTAATATTATGGATGTAATTAGCAGATTTTTATTAGTTTAAGGACTGATTTTTCCAAAAAAAAAAAGTTCAAGAACCTAATTTTTACTCAAATAATAATTTAAGGACTAAATCAAAATCAATAGTTCACCCTAAAAAACTAACTTAAGTTATTGAAATACAATGGGGTTAGGTCCTGAAAGAGTATCCTCAAACAAATTTATGGAGTCCCTCAATTGAAGCTCCCTCAAATGATTTGAACTTTTAAAAGAGTCCAGCACGAAAGCGAAGGGAGGACAAAAATTATCATCATAAACAAGACAGTAACTAGGTAACAGTTCGATCACAATTAGTTAAAGAAAGCTTTATTAATTAAACAGATGAGAATATGAAATTAGGGTACGTCCCGACTGTATTTATTCATATGATCCGCAACATCCTCAAAAGTGACAATAACGAATTTTTTTTTTTCTTCCAACTTTACTAAATGTATCGGCCTCATTGCTGATAGACACACTGGACTGCCAAGCAATCTTCCATAAGGGATTTGGATCCTCTTCTAAGCCAATGGAGAGGATCCTCCTAACCAAGCATTGTGGGCCGTTGGATTTTCATCCAACGACTATAATTATTATAACTTTAAATGGACCTCCCTGTTTGTAGTCGTTGGATAAAAATTCAACGGCCCACAATGTTTGGTCAGAAGGATCCTCTCCATTAGCTCAGGAAAGGATCCAAATCCTTCCATAAGCGCTCGAGATCGTCCTCCCAATCTTGTCGGGTCTTGGTCTTCCTTGGGCCTCTTGGAGTCTGAAGGGATCGCGCGTTAACAACCATCGTCTCTCTTCCTCCTTCATCCATCATCATCATCTTTCTCTTCTCTCTCACAAGTCGCTCCTTCTCCTTCCTACCCAACACCCCCCCCCCCTCCTCTCTCTCTATTTTTATTTTTATAAAAGTAAAAAATCAGTCATATTTTTAAAACATAATAACATGAATTATTTATCACATGCAAAAATTCAACAAAATTATTATCAACAAACTTTTAGCAAAAAACACTTAATGAAATTTTATTAATAAATACTCATAAGAAAATATTGTTTCTTAAATATAATAAATTTCTAGAAATAATATCACTATTTCTAAACACGGTGTCACTGCTTCCAGAAAGTGTGTCACAATTTATTGAACTAGCGGTCACCATTTCTAGACGGCGATACTAATTTTAGAACCAGTGTCAGTGACACCCAATCTAACATTTGGATCACAAGTAGTTTATGAAATTTTTATTAATTAAAGACCGTACAACTCAATTATACAGATGAGAAAATGAAATTAGGGTTGTACTTCCCAACTCTATATATTCATATGATCTGCAGCATCCTCAAACGCGACAATAACACAAGTTTATTCCAACTTCATTCACTTTGCAATAGCCACCAAATCGAGGGTTTATACCAAGCTTAATGCAAAAAGTGTTGCAGTCAGGCTTGGCCTTTTCGCACGGCCCCCAGGCCCAATGCCTTTGCCCTGAAGGAACCTCCGCAACATTGTAGCCTGCAAAATTCAAACAAACAACTAAGGTAATTCCTCCGTAAAATACGTGATCGTAACAATGTCAATGTGACTGTGCGACCCCAAGCCAACAAGAAACCTATTTTGCAAGGATCGAGGGAGGGGAAACCTAAGCAAACTTACTTTTGTTTTTCAAATAGGTTATTTCCACGACTCAAACCTGTTACCTTTCGTTGCACCAAGGCTCGCCCTCGACTATACATATTGCATAGTGTTTGTAAAATGATTTCATTTCAATGCGTACCTGAGCTCAGACGAAATAACACGATGCAGAAAAACACCATGAAAAGGGCTCGAGCAAAGTTGATGGAAGTCATATGGTCTGACGATATTAGTTAGTTACTATAGTTTGGTGTGTGATTAACGTTTGAAATCATGTGGTATTTATAGAACACTAAACCTCTCTCTTTGATGGAGAATCTGAATTGACTTCTCGCAAATCAATTTTTGTTAAATGTAAGTTATGAGTAATAAGTATCGTTTTCGATTCGCTACCAAATCAAGGGATCACGTAAAATCCATTAGGATTATTGACCAAAAAAAGAATTAAGATTCTATTTAGGGATCCTTCAGATAATTTTGTGGGACCGTTTTGAATTTTTTATCTTGTATTGGAACTATTTTTTTAGGAAAAGTAATGAACAATCCACAAAAAATGGAAGGAGGATTGTCTCCCCGTCTAATCTCTCAGCTTCTCTCCCTTTCTATTTAATCGGTTACGATTAAGTCACGTCAAAATATCTTGTATTGATTTTCTATAGAGAGAGAAAGACAAAAAAAAAAAAAAACTGTGAGTAGAGGGGAGAGAAGAAGATGAAAATAACATAGGAGAATCATACTCCCGAAAATAAACAACAACCATATTTAAACATTAAAAGTCTAAAATAACAATCATTCAATTAATTTTTATTTTTTTTAACAAACGATAGTGTTAGTGGGTTAAATTGTCAATTGTTAGGTGAAGGGTGATCGATGGGGATTGAACCCACACCAAAATACATAGACATAATTGTATTCCACCACTGTGATAATGCGCTATATGCTATCAATCATTTAATTGAGTAATTAAAAACTAGACGGCTTTGATTACTGAAATATAACAAGGGCTAGCTCCAAAAGAGTATCCCTCAAATAGACTTGTTTCAGGCATCCCTTAAATATGTATACTTTTAGTATCCAAACGTCATAGGAGAAGAGAAAATCGAACATAGGACCTCATGCACAAAGGGTAAACGCTCTTAATACTTATAAACTAGCTTGAACAAGTTAGTAAGAACAGTGTCTTCCTCTATACACCCAAGTTCAAAACTCTCTTCATGTGTTATTTTTCGCTCGAAACTACAATGAATATATATATGGTCCACTCAAATAACCATATTACACATTCACACATTTAAATACAGTTTGGGCTTGGACAGGCCCGACTGGATACAAAGCCCGTCATAGTCTAAAGCCAATAGTAAGCAACAAACTGGAAGCAAATGGTCAAATCCGACCAGGCACAATCCGGTGTTCATTTGCTAAAACGAATGAGAAATCATATAACAACTGTGACACACATTTTGTATTCAAATACTTTGAAACAGTTCATAAACTATGTCATTGTTCCGATTAACCCGAAAATACAGACGCGGCGTGCGAAAGACAGAAAAAAAAACAAATAAACAGATATGGGATGATATCATATACAGCCATTAGTTACAAAATTACCTCCGCCTTCACACCCAGGAATTCCCGGGAAATGGCGTTTATAGCGCGAATGAAGGAGGTTTCTGTCTTCGGTGCTGGTTCTAATTGTTCCTTTCAACGGCCTTTCCAACGAGAAAATGCGATTCAGGCTTTCGAGCTGCAAGCCTAATAACCGTTCTTTCCTTTTGAGGAGAAGAATCTGCTGATGCCGCGCTGATGTTTCTCTGGTGTTGGGGTAGAAGACGTAGATGAGGGAGTTGACTTGGAAGACTTGTGTTTCGGACTTTTGGAACTGACTGGTGATTTTAAGAGAGTGCCTGCCTCTGTGTCGGATGGGCATGGAGAGTTATGCAGGTTGATGGGAGACTCGCTGCCCACCACTCTGTTTACATTGACAGAAGAAGCGCCTTCCGTCTCACCTTTTTCTGAGTCTTGCAAGTTCATGGCACTGGTAGTGGGTTCATCCTCGGTGAAACCTTCACCCTTTTGACTCCTCCCACTGTATGGAGATCCCACGACCTCTGTTTGAGGGTGCAATGCTTTCAACTGCTTGCCGAGAAGAAATATGGTTTCTTGACACTCGGCAAGCTTCTCCGCTGCATCTGCCAACTCCCTGTCCTGTGATTACACAATATAAATGTTCAAGCTATCGGCATCCACTTGCTTCAGTAGGCCAGGATAGATCAACGTTGACAACACAAAAAACGATCAAGCACGGACAGAAAAGAAACAAGTAGAAAATGAACCGTCGCCTCACCTGTTTTGTCTTGAATTCAGTCTCAGCTTCCAAACGCTCATTGCTGGCATAAAAAAAGGAAAATGTGAAAGTTAGAGTCGATCGCCAAACCTGAGACCAAATAAATTGAATGCTCAATAGTTTTGTTTTTTCATTTGCTATCAAGCAACAGATGCCACCGATGGAACAGAGATTGACGCTAACCTTTTCAACTGCTCTTGAAGTTCCGTGCACCTGGCCAAAGCATCTTGATGGTTCCTTTTCTCTTCTTGTAGCTCGCTTTCCAGAGTTTCGTTTCTGACTTGCAGAAGCTTCAGTTCAGTTTCTAACTCCTGAGCTCGTGACTCAAGTGACCTGTATGATTCTGCCATACATTTCAGCTGCGTCTCGGCTAAGCTATTTGAGTTCTTAGCAGAAGCAAATTGTGATTTAGCTTCAGCAAGAAGCTGCTCAGTTTCCTGTAATTGAGACTTTGTAATCTCTAGAGTTTCAGAACATCTTGCCAAATCCGTTGCCAGGTTATCTTTCTCTGATTTCAGTTGTTCAAACTCCTCCAGCGAGATTTTGCATGGCTCGGCATTTGGTTCATAGCCAGAGACAAGATTTCCATCGTCAGGAACTTCAGGGTTCGTATGATTAGGAATGTGGACACAAACATTTTGAAATCTTTGTGATGAATCCTTCTCAACTACCTTATTCTCTGGTAATGCTACCTTGTCAATGCAATCAGGACTGTTAGTTTCTGATTCAACACCCTTGAAGCCTAGAACGTTGAATTTGAGTTCACTGGCGTTTGCTAAAACATGCGAAAGGCCAAGAACAAATTCACCCAAACTTAAGTTTCCATGAATAACTTTACTAAATGTGCCAGAGAATTCTTCAATCTTTGGGGTCAATCCATCGCCATCCGGAAACGTGCCATGCACTTCCATCACTTCTTTGCCCAGGGACAGCACAAAGTCATGGATCAAAGAAATGGCAGATGCCAGATCTTCGCTTATTACTTTCATGGTCTCTGTGGCTGGCTGGGACAAAGTGATTTCCTTTTCTGTGGTTAAACCAGAATCATCAGGATTTGCCTGCCGGTCACATAGGGCATCAGAGCTGTGAACTTCCTCAGAAACACACTTTACAGTGTGCGGGTGCAGAGTATCTTGTGCTTCCTGGACTACAAGTTTGATATCCTCAACAACTTTCCCAAAATCGGTTTCCTTAGATAAGAATTCCAATAGCATACAGATTTTCGAACGGAGTTTCACCAGTGGCAGCTGGCTTTCATCAGATTCAGGACTGGATCCTGACAATTCCGCATTAGAAGATGCTTGGTCACCTACCAAGGGACTTGAATCATGCTGCTGCTCAGATTGGACATCTTTGGCGGCAGTGACATCTCCCATAGCATCATGACTCTCTCTTTCGGATGTCTTACTAGAGATGGCTCCATTCGAGTCATTTGGCAAACAAGCCAACTTCTCCATCTCCAGAAAGTCATCCATAAGATTCAAGTCGTTTTGACTTTCAGATTTGTTTGACTTTGCATTGTTCTTCTCCAATGTTGTGGCCCAAGACTCAGCATAGCTTCTGGTGTCATCATTACTATCTTCAGACAAGGAGGTCAAGCTTGGTGGATTGCTTGCGTCCTGGCTTGACGAACCTCCAGGGGTGATCTGAACAACAGATTTTGGCGAGCCTTTCTGTAGATTGTTGATTTGAAGTTGTGCTTCTAATGTTTGAAGCTTGCTGGCTGCCTGAGCATACATACTCCTTGAATCCAGCACATCGCTGTTACGCTTTGCCAAAGCTTCTTTCAGCATCTTTGTTTCTTCTTCCATTGCTAATAAACGTTCTGTGAGAAATTCATTCTCCTTTTGAAACTTCTGTACATTATCAAGAGAAAACTCAGTTGCTGGGGACATGTGTGGGGACATTTGTGGACTAGAAAGCTTAACAGGAGACTTCCTTAATCGAGTTTCTCCATAATCTCGGCCTAAACTTTCAACCTCTAGCTTCATTTGTGCAAGTGCAGCAGGACCAGGTAACTTCTTCCGCACAAGACCACGTAATCTTTGGCACTCTGCTTCAAGCTTAGTTATTTTTTTAACACCTTCCATATGCTGCTTGTTGGCTGCTTCGGCAGACCTCATACTCATGTTCTTTTCCTCATTCCGAATTTCTAGCTCCTTGGCGGCTAGATGGAGTTCGTACTTCAGAGAATGTATTTCCCTTTCACAAGACTCAACGTTGCTCTTAAAATGCTCAATTTCTGCCTCAGCTTGTGACTTCTCTTCACTTATCTTGAATAGCATATTCGAACGCTCTTGTAAGGACCTGGAAATAGCGGCATTTTCAGCAGCAGACCTTAGGAGTTCTTGATCTAAATTAGCTATCTTCGTTTCGAGCTCATGCTTGATTTTGTCAACTTGTGTGTTTTTGGTTAAAACAACGTCTTGTATTTTCTGCTCATGTTCTTCCTTAAGATTACGTATCTGTCGCATGCACTCTTTAAGAGCACCATCCAAATGTGCGGCCCGGTCTTCAGCAGTGAGCTTCAAAAGAGTCACAGATTCTAGATGAGTTTTCAATGCGAGAGCCTCCGCTTCAGCCTTTTCCCAACCTGCGGCAAACAGGCGTTTTAAATAAATTAATTTCTGTCAAGTGTCAACTCAAGAAATCCTTGATCAGCACCCAATCAAGAACTTTATTTTTTCTGTAGTCGAGTTACTTACACCAATATCATTATTATCATACCTGAGACGGCTTCTTCGGCAACTTTAGCATGCTGTTTAACCAAGCTCTCTTTGGTAGTCATCTCGGAATCGGCCTCAGTGAGCTTATCATTCAAATCCTTAATTTCGTCCTCCAATGTCTGAACTTGATCCTCATAATTCTTCACTTGATCCTCGTAATTCTTCACTTGCTCCTCCAAACCGGTCAGATGCGAATATTGCTCCACAGAAATTTGCACATAATTTGGTTTTTTGTACTTCTCCTGATTGCATAAGAAGCAAAACCGAAAAATAACTATTACTAAATTTGTTGCATCAAATTTCGAAAGAAACTACGAAGAAACCTAAATAATCCATCAAATTGCAACAGAAATTGCTGTCAACTGTGACAAATTCATTAAAAACTAAATAATCCATCTAATTAGAACAGAAATTGCTGAGACAAATTCATTAAAAATTCAAAACTGCATAACGAAAACATGCTAGAAATGCCTACTTACTGAGTCAATGTAGTGAATATGCAAAATATTACTGATTAATTTACTGTCAATGAACTTACTTGCTCAGTCTGTGCCTGGCTGGCAAGAGAGTCCGCTGCGGCGGCGGCTTTCTCCGCTGCCGCCTTGTCCGACGACTTTTTCTTCCACGGCCAACCCCGTCGGTCCATATTAGACTGTAATGTCTGCATAAATTACGATTCAAAATAGTAGTTGTTTGTTAGTTGCGAGAAAAAAGGAAACCGATTGAATTAAATTAATTAAGAAACAAATATACTGATTAGGAAAGTAATTAGAAACTTAAAAACTTGAGTCATTCAGTTTAAAATCCAAGTCAAATAATGGTAAGAAAACTCAGAAGTTCCATTTCTGCAAGAGCATTGCGAAGAACAGAAAATGCAGATGCAAATCACAAAAACGACATGTCGACTAATGAAGAACGGAGAACGACGAGATCTTGATTACGGAGCTATATTTAGCTGGAGATCCTACGGATTTAAAGAGATTAATACCGTAATACACTGACACTGAAAAAGCTCAATAATCCGATACGAAACGGAAACAAAATTAGAAAATCGGAAACACGAACGAAATCGTTCAACACAAAAGCAAAAGGATGAACAGGAAAATCGGTGGAAACAAGCGGAGAAAACCTCACCGACAGAAAGAGATGAAAATTTCTAATTTGATGAAGTAATAAATCGCATAAAAAATCACAGTCTGTTTCCAGGAAGCAGAATGAAGACGAATTATCAGCAGAAAACCGCATTTATTTATTTATTTTAATTTCAAATATTTTTCATCTCTCGTGTATGAGAAGCTTCTGGTAGATGGCGGTGACGAGCAGAGATTAAAAGAAGTCGGTGGAGACAGAATGCGTGGGGGAATCGGCTTACCGGAACTAATGCAGCTTCCGAAACACTCCGATGCGGAGAGTATCAGACTCCGAGACCGAGACCGAGACTCCGAAATGGAGATCCGAATTCGGAATTTTGTTATCGGCGAGTGTCGGTTTTAGAGAGAGAGAGAGAGTGCGACGGAGGTGGAGGTTGTGGAAGAGCGCGGAGAGAGAAAGAGAGAGAAAGAGGAAGAAGGAGAAGGAGAAGAAGAAGAAATGGATTGCGGTGGTGGTGGTGGTGTGGTGGGTGCGAGAAGAGAGTGAAATATTCGGACTGAGGTGTCACTTTAAAAGGTAAGACGTTAGAAAAAGCCTCCAAAAAACCATCACCTTAAATTTTGTATTATTTTTTTGAAAAATTAAAAAGAAAAATAAAAACGGAGAAGACAACAAAATAAAAAAATAATTAATAAGCATGGGGAATGCTTCTTTTTTTCCTTTATCTTTTGCTCCTTTAATTTAATTAGAATCTGCGATATTTATTAATCGGAGCCTTGTTGGTTGACGAATTGGCGAATTTACCCTCGATAGAACGTAAGAATGGCAATTAATTCAAGACTGCTTCTGTAAAAAACACTTTTTCTCTTAAGTATTTGTACTGGTTTGGTACTGAGATGTTTTTATAAAAAGTAGATATAAAAAAAGTTGAGCTCAAAAAAATGTTTAGTAAACACTTAAAAACAACTTATTTTCACACATTTTGATGATTTGGGTGAAAAAAAAAAACTAAAAAGGTAAAGCAGTAAAAATAAACTTATCCTCACAGCGCAACAGAAGCAATTTTTTTTCTTCAAAATACAGCAGTACCAAACCAGCCGAAAAGCTATAAATGTCAAAATTTGTCGAAAATCAAAGCGTTTCTACACTTGAATGCTTATTCAGAAATTTTTGTAATTATCAAAAAGCACTTTTGGCGTTTACAGAAGCAGTCGCAAACGGACGCTCTTGCGACGCTTGTGGGGGAAGCGAATGTGAGCTGTATCCAATATTAGAAAGTTCTGTTGGGCTGTTGGAGTATGTTATGTTTCCATTACCGGGTCTGGACCACCGTCAGTAGTACAGCTCACCGCTCTAATGTGCTGTGCTGTGCTGTTGGATGCGCTGCGGGTGCTGCGTGGTGCGGTGGACCGTCGCAGCAAGGTAGTGATTTTGTTATTTTATATAGATCGGAGCATCAATGCCATGAGAAATTTTTCAATGTGACCGGTACACAGTGTAGTACATTACGTATCATTATACAAATTATGAGATATATATGTTAAAAATTTAATAACTTAAAAAATAAAATTTTCCACCACTTATATAAAAACACATGATGTACCTTTCGTGTTCCGGTCACAATAAAAATTTTCTCCAATACCGTGGGTTGGACCAACCTTGGATATTTGGGGTTCTTTCTTTTTTATCATGATATAATTTTTGGATATTTGTTTTCTATACCCTACTTCGGCATGGAGTTATTATAATTTTCTACCAAAGCTTGACAAATAATTTGTTGATCTTGATTTTAGGATTTAGCCATTAATTAAAGTGGAATGGATCCGTGACACTATTTTTTACCCAAATTACATGTTCTGATGAGGCTATCTTCATAATGTATTTCAACGATCTGAACCGTATATCTTCTAAGTATTCCCTCAAATATCATGTTTACCATAAGTCCCCGAAATCTACAACCATATAAATGTAAGGGTTTAGGGTTTCTTTGTAGAACCATACTCTTCGATTTTCTTTACTACAAATAAATGTCTTAATGGTTTTGGATTTGTCTTATTTTTTCAAAAATGATCTATGAATGATGTTCTAAAAGATAAACGATCCAAGTAGTTAAAATACAATGAGCCCCACCAAAAATGATTAAAAAATTGTGTAAAAAAATAGTCACAAATCTGTCTCCAATAAAGGACGTGTGACTCTAAACAAAACAAAGCATAAGTGGCAATGAATGAAAGAAAAATACTGTGCGAAAATCAATTCCCTTGTTTAGTGACTTTGGAATGCTCGTGTACTTTTATTTCGTCATGTGTTTTAACGTTTTTGTACTGTATCATAGTTTATTTGACCCAAATTTCTCGTCTCGAATTTTTCTAGTTTATGGACAATAGACATGTATTGGTGCACATATTACGGTTATACGCATTAAACGTAAAAACATGTAAAAAGTTGGTAATTTCCCCTTTTTGATGATTTAGCCCCATAATTGGTGATAGGTAGATAGCCCAATCAATCATTCAACAAATAGACCTCGTAAAAAGTAGTCATATATGATTATATACGATACTTTCAACCAAAGCAATATATAAGAACGACACAAAAATCAAAAGTAAGATTTGTGGTGTTTAAGTTTTGGGCATGTGAATTTTGACATTAGATTGCAGGGTATCAAAGTGCAAGATTTCACGATTGAATTAAGATTTTTTTCAGATCATCAGAGTTGACAAATCGAGTAATTCGAATCACACAACGTTCAGCATTAGTCATCACACTATCCACCTCACACAAATCAAATTCGTATCTCTCTATTTCTCTTTCATGGTCCAAATTACACGGTCAGCTTGCGAGATCTTGAAACAATCTGAATTCGTCACCATTGTTCCCTACAAAAGGTTGACTTAGATAACACGTATGCACTTGTTGTGGCAATGTTTCGCGTAAATGATACATCGATATGTGATTTTTTTTATTTTTCTTTGTACCCTTAAAAATGGTCTTTAATTATTTGGTTACAGTGTTTTTTTTTTGTCAAAATTTAGTAACAATGTTGGATAAGTATTAATGCAACTGCTTGATATATTATAGCAAGATTAAACAATAGTACAGAAAACATAAATTTGCTCTGAATTTCTGTTAAACAAAATGAGACATGTATATGGGAAAATATCATTAATTGAAAAAAATCAGAAGCATATATTTTGGTGTTATTGGGGGTATTCAGAGCGATAGTAATGAAAAGATGTAGATTTTGTTTTATTTTTATTAAACTTATCAAAATTAAATATCGATGACATATTAATCAACTTGACAATATAGCAATTAAAGATGGACAACATAACGATCAGTTATCAACGACAAATTGAAGGTCACAATTGTAATTTTCGACGATATATAAAACAGGATTACTTACCTAATCAAAAGATTAACGACATCCATATACAATTATACTTGCAATTACACGAAAATCAATTGATTTAGGGGTGTGCTATCTACACATTCTTTTTACTTCTCACACTCCTTATTAATTTATATCCGTTGATTTTCTTCGATTCATTCGATCCGACGGCAGAAAACCAAAAAAGTGTGGGAGAAGTAAAAAATAGTGTGTGGATATCACATCTCTTGATTTATCTATTTATTTTGGAGACTGTCAGAGTGTGGGCTAGTGTACAATAAAAGCCTGCGGTCCACTGCTACAGAACGGCGACTATGAAAAGCATCAACAGCTTCACTTTTTTCTTTTTCTGATAGAATGAAGAATGAATAGTTGCAGCCACTTTGATGAGATTGTGTACAAAGTCAACCTAATTTTAGTTGATGTGGGATCATGACTGTTCAATTCAAACGATAAACAAGGAATTAGATCCGCTCCAAATCTTAATATCCGAACATATAGATCAATTCAACTGGATCGCTAATTGGTGTGTAAAAGAAATTTGGGTTGTTGATTTGTGTGAGGGCTAAGGAAATGAGTTAATGGAGACCGTGAAATTCAGTTTGTGCGAAACTATCCATGAAGAATATCAAGAAAATGAACCCTCTCGCATGCTAAACCAAATTGTTTTCAAACTCGAATCGAGATCTTTTTCGAATCTCACAGTCCGAAGTTGACATACGGAGATATTCGGACTACTCATTTTAAATTGTACAGCTTCTGTTAACTCATCACACTGATCTACTGCACAAAAATAAAGAGACTGGATCTCTCTCTCTCCCTCTTAAACAGTTCGGACTACTCCGTCAGTGGGTTCTGGACCGCATATTCTCTATTAGCTTTTCATTAAACTTAATTATGGGTTTTAAACATATTTAACTCCATTAAAATTCACCATGTTGATAGCTAAGGTTTTCAATGGAAGTTGTTATTAAGATTTTAAGATACAAATCAGCCACAAATAATGTAACAACAAACCACACTGATATTGTTGTCCCAACTTATAATTTACTATCGGCACATTACAACAGGTATAAAAGTTCCATCACAAAATTATTAATGTAAGTACTTAATATAAATCATATTGGAAAAGAATCCCCGCCGAATCCTTTTCCTAGGGATTCTGTAATTATGACTGTTCATCGTATATCGTACGGTCAGTTTTTGTTAAGTACTATTTATATTTAATTTTAAAATTTAAAATTTAAATGATTTCTGATCGCATGAGATACAGTAAACGATCACAATCACGGAATACCTAGAATCCTTATAAAAAAGATCTAGCAAGGATCCTTTTCCAATTATATTAATTTTTTCGATGTGAGATTCTTGTAATTTTAAAACGGATTTGGATCTCATTCATATTCAAATTGTGAGGATCCCTAGTAACTATTCATCGTACATCGTGCTATAAGAAATCATTTGAATTTTTTATTCAAAATTAAATAGAAATAATATCCAACGAAAATTAATACACGATATACGATGAACGGTTATAATGGTAGAATACGGAAAGGAGTTTCATCCTTCTAAAACATGTTATACAACCCCAAAATTGAGCGACTGGGACCCACACGCTAATTGAGGTGCGTAGGAGATAAGACCAGTACAATCCAACAGTGGAGCAGAGGAGGAGCGGAGGGCAGCATCCTATGAAAACGAGGTGGTAAAAGACACGTGGTCCCCACGCAGCACACGTTTCAGCCTTCAGTTGTCATGGACAAGCTTTAGGCTTTTTATCACGTGGGGTCCACTGACTTCTTACCCTCTTTCCTAGAGATTTTTGTGAAACCGGCACACAGGATGATACACCCTATGTTACTATACAAATAGTAGGATATGTGTATTAAAAAGTTAATAATTTAAAAAATAAAAATTTCCACCACTTATATCAAAACACATGATGTACCACTCGTGTGCCCATCACAATAAAAAATTTCTCCTTTCCCACATACAAATGAAATATTTCAATGTACTAGAAATACAGCTCGATACATTAAATATAATAATACAGTTGGTTTAAAATTTAAAGGATGACACCAAGTATGCCGAGCCGTATTGACATGTGTCGAAAGAAAACGACCATGTTTCATATAACACGGGTGATTAGCCCCCTTAATCATCGAAACGTACAGCGTCG